CCTGAATCTGCTGTCGCTATGGGTCATCCCACTGGACCACCCATGCCACAGAGCCCCCCTGGACTGCACCCACCCCACGGCTTTCCAATGCCGCCTCCGATCCCCCCTGGTCAACCCCCACCCTTTTATGTAAACAGGCCTAATATGAACCCTCCGATGAACATGCAGAGGCCTCCTCCGTTCCCTCCAGATCTACAGATGCTGCAGAATCTCTTCCCTTTTCCACCTATGGGTCAGAACCCAGTAGATTTCTTCAGCAACTTCCTCGGAAACCAGGCTCCACAGGGAGGTCAGTGTTTAAATTGGCCCTCAAATAGAGCCATTATGTTTAATCATAACTAAACAATGCTAATTTGGGTTTCTCTTTTTTTGTTGAATGCAGTTGACCCTGGTCTGGCCTTCATGCAGAACCTCCAGCAGAACATGGGTGCAGAGTCACAGTTGAATTCTTTGCCACCAGCAGTACAGAAGGCCATCCTTTTACACCTGACACAACAACAGCAAGAGTCTCTTCCACAGGGAAATGAGCCACAGAGAGCGGAGGGCCCGGATGATAACAATGCAAACAGAGGTAAGGGGCAAGAAGCAGGTTTGCTGAGTAAAGTAGGGTGAAAATAAAACTCCGTAAAAATTAGAACCCTTTCTGAAATTGAGTGAAAACTGAGGTAAAAAGACGTGTATTACCCAGGGGAAATCAGTGTCCTAAACATGCGCTCATTTAAATAGAAATGTCAAAACAAAACAAATACAAAATGTCATCTTTTTCTTGACAGATGAAACTACAAACTGGTACTCAAGCGATGAAGAGGATGGGAGCTGTGTTTCCTCCATTCTCAAATGTCTCAAAAAGCAGAATGAGAAGCAGCAGTCTCAGTCGAAGCCCCCCCAGGCTGCCCCAGTGGGTGACCCTCGGCTTGTTAAAGAGAGGGCCCCACCCAGTGACCCCCGTGTGAAGACAGACCCCCGACAGCGACCCCCGGATACGAAAAAGGAGTCGGACGGAGCTGCAGACCCCCGGTTCTCCAGAGACCCCAGGAAGATTCGACCAATGGAGCCGAGTTCCTTTCGGCAGCAGGGCCACCCCGGTTCTAAGAAGCCCCCTGCAGGGGATGAGGATGATGAAGGAGAGCGGGAGCCCAGGGACAAAGCTGTCCTCATCCCTCTAGATGCCGGCCCCGAGGTGCTGCTGCGGGACCCTCGCTGCCAGTTAAAGCAGTTCAGCCACATCCGAGTGGACATCCTGCTCCAGAGGCCGGTCTTCGCTCAGACCGTAGTATGGGCCCCTGAGGACCTCATCCCTTCTCTTGTACCCAAACAGGAACACTCAATCAACCTGCCCCTCCCACCCCTCATTGCAGATGCTCAGATGAACCGAACAAGCTTGCCTGACCCTCCCCCCGTCTCCAGCCCTCCAGCCATTGACCCCAGACTGGTAGCAGCACGTTTAAAAGAGCGTATGAGTCGATTACCCTCCGGATCTCTAGAGTCCCGACCCCCCCCAGAAAGACCCATAGATCCACGTCAGCAGAAGACTCTGGATCCCAGACTTAAGCGTACAGTTAGCCTGGACTCGAAGCTGATGGGTCAGAAGGTGCCCTCCTCTGGGGGGGGAGTTGTGGACCCCAGGCTACAGAAAGCCAGTGTTAGCTCCACTCCTCATACTGTCCAAGCTAAGCCAGAGCCTGAGAAGCTGCCACCTTATGCCCCACATCTGGCTTCCTCTGGTGGGGGGCTAGAGAGTCCCACTACTATCCTCGGGGGCATCAGTCTGTACGATCCTCGTAATCAAAGCGAGACAGCCCAGAAGGAGCCGACAGAGCCTCCCAAAAAGACGTCCCTGAAACTCCCAGCCAAGAAAGACACTTCTCCGCCGCTCTCACCAACTCAAAGAAGTGGCTCTTTGGAAGAGACAAAAAGCACAGACGCAGCCTCAGATCAGCCTCCACCTCCCAGTCCTGCCGCAGTGCCTCCTGCCTCACCGGTCAAACCCCCTGCGGTTCATAACCTCCCCATCCAGGCCCTGGCCGGGCTCATCCGGCCCCCGTACACTGACCCCAGGCCGGCCAAACCTGGAGGACAAGGCTCAGCAGGAGCACAAGAAGAGGCGGAGGATAAGAAGGAGCAGGGGGAGGTTAAGGAGGAGGAACCAAAGCAGGAGGGCCCAGAGGAGGAGGCAGATGACAGGACACTCAAAGATGTGTTCAAGACTTTTGACCCCACTGCTTCCCCTTTCTGTCAGTAAACACCCCGGGGTGGAAATATGTAAAAGCCGCAGAAGATTTGTATTTTGATGAAAATATCTATGAATCGTTTTGGAATCACATGAATCTATTTATTTCTGTATATAAATGATCCTGTATAAAACACATACTATCTAGTGCGCCACACATCAGTATGGAGATGATGCTATCTAATGTGCACAGACACAGTGTATAGTTACCTTCAACATAATCTTATTCATGCAGAAATGTGTGTTTTGAAAGTGTGTATGCTACGGTTTTTTATCATTGTGTTATTTCCATGTAGGTTTTAAACAGTTTTTAAAAAGTGTGTCCATTTTTCACTAAGGATTGACGCATATCTTTCCAGGCATTACACATTGTAGATAAGATCATGAACTCACTCTACAGGCAAACGGTTGTACTAAATAATCCATCAAACAATAATTCTAGGAATTCCCTTGTGAGTGTTTGTATTTCCTTATTTATTTTAAGGCTCTTTTATATTATCATACCTTACTTTTATGATAAGGGATTTATTCACCACAAGTTAACAGATCTAGTTTTTTATTATTTACTTTGTTTTCATTTAAAGTGGCCTAAATGCTTTGAGGGTGTCAAGTTACTGATGTAGGCTTGTCTATTTTGCTTAACTAGCAGTATTGAGAGTCGTTGAGTAAATAATATTGTTTACTTCCTTTGTCATTGTCATTAGTCAAAACACGCACTGCTGATAAACTTGTATGGTAAATAGCAAACTGTCTTTCACTTGTTTTTATCAGAACAAAAAAGAAATTCTAAAAAAATATATTGGACCCATTTCATTGATAGATCGATAAATATGACCTTTATAACTATATTTCATAGTTGAATTTTGTTGGAGTCGACACGATAAACTCATGTGGGGTTATCTGTCGTACAAAGAGTGAATGTTGAGGCTGAAGGCGGCATAATGCGCTGCAGTTTATATTATTTTACATTTCTGTGTCTGTTAAGGTGAGCCTTGTATGACTGAAACTAAATGATGTCCTTTTTTTCTAATTATCATTTTCATACTTCACATTGTAAATCCCTTTTTGTATCACATGTACAGTCTGTTTTTGAGCGTTTTAATGAATAATGCTTCATTTTCCGTTTTTGTGGTGATGGTTGTGATAATACTGTAAGACATTTTAACAACACATGCCTGTCACATTTTAGTGATTTTATTATGATAACTGGAATAAACAGATAAGACATAAGGTATTTTATTTCAGAATCACACATCAAGTTTAATTCTCTCAAAATACAAAATATTTTATGTCATTCACCTTGTTGAAGTGTCCGAGGGCATGACAGTCAGTGAAAAGCTCCCTCTAAGGGTTGAGTCGGTTTCATATCATTATTTTAAATAGAAAACAACAATGGGATCCCTTTTAGGCTTCGCAGGTATACCATGATTCATAAATTGATTTTGAACTGCAAAGATGATGTAGACAAGTATTTTGCTTCCCAAGAGTATGCATAGGTTGATGAAATTAGGATCACATTATTTCAGGGGATACTTTTAAATACAAAGATAGGGACACATATAAAGAATACATGTATATCTGTCACAGGTGTTAACTTGTGGAATGGTTGGGTCAAGAATTTAAGAATATAAAATAAACAAAACGTTTAAAGATCAGGTGGTAAACATAAAAAAACAAGATATATTTATTTAGTTTGAAACTTTGGGAAATTGTTTTGTTTTTGTAAACCTAGAAGTGAACGGGATGCCTATTATGATATGTACAAAGGTTAGTTATAATAAGCTTAAACTTGAGACTAAAATAACTGTTTATCGCAAGCCATTTGAGTATTTATTCCATATCCTTGATATCAGACGGCAGCTGCCTACACTAGTTGGCTCTTTGATTTCACTTGTTAGATATATGGTCACACTCTGCTTTACTAGTTAAATAAAACATTATACTAGTCACTTTTTTTCAGCAACTAGTGGCACTTTTGTCTGACTAGTTAGCACATAAGCCTTACTAGTGATGCCAGGAGCAGCACTAGTAGCACCAAAGTACCAACATGTAAGCTTTTTGATGAACTGGTGACCCTCTGACCGTACTAGTGACGCTAAAAGTCTTACAAGTTAACTAGTGCGCTGCAAAAGCTCTGACATGTTAACTAGTTACAAAAAAAAAGCAGAACTAGTTAACTAGTGGCATACATTTTTCTGCACTAGTTAACTAGTAGCACCCAGAATCACTCACTAGTTAACTAGTAAAGGCAAAATGTTGACTAGTTAACTAGTTGACACCTCTTTTGACCTTACTAGTTAACTATTGGGGCTCAAAATGTCTACACGTTAACTAGTGAACCCTTTCCCCTTTACTAGTTAACTAGTGAGGCTTAAAGGTCCCATTATGGCAAGCCATTTGAGTATTTATTCCATATCCTTGATATCAGACGGCAGCTGCCTACACTAGTTGGCTCTTTGATTGCACTTGTTAGATTTATGTTCAAACTAGTTTGGCACTCTGCTTTACTAGTTCAATAAAACATTATACTAGTCACTCTTTTTCAGCAACTAGTGGCACTTTTGTCTGTTACCACATATGCCTTACTAGTGACGCCAGGAGCAGCATTAGTAGCACCAAAGTCCCAACTTGTAAGCTTGTTGATGAACTGGTGGCCGCCGTCTGATATCAAGGATATGGAATAAATACTCAAATGGCTTGCCATATGTGACCATATATCTAACAAGTGAAATCAAAGAGCCAACTAGTGTAGGCAGCTGCCGTCTGATATCAAGGATATGGAATATATACTCAAATGGCTTGCCATAACTGTTTATAAGTACTACTTGTAGCCAACTGGCGAGGCAAGACTGGGCGCTACAGGGTGGGACGAGGTCTTCCTCAAACCCAGCTCATCAGTCTCTGGGTTGGAGGTCTGCTGGGCTCGATGGATCTCTAATTTCCTCATCCACTGAAAACACAAGGCTGTAGCCTCGGCACCATCTGAGTTTGGCTCCGGTTGCCTCAAACCCTGGAAAGAGAAAGACATTTTGCAGGCGGCAATTCACATAACAGAGAGTTAGAGCTGTATCGTATCAATCTGAGAAAACTTCATAATTAATGCTTGTTTTTTAGATAACATTTTTACAGTGATGCAGGCTGACTCTGCCGCGTGGACCCCTCGCAGGACAGTTTGGAGTAGATTCTGAGTGTTCTTCACCAGGATCTCATCAGATGATTTGCAGCCAGGTGTTACAGCATTGACGCTATGAATAAAAAGCGTCCAGTTATTATTGTTTTCTAGCTTAGTTCTTCTCACCATGTGTCATACACTATACCAACCAGGAGATGATGTTGAGCTGGTTGGTGATGGTGAGAATCTGCTCAACTACGAGGGAAAGTTCAACTGTGCACTGTTTATCCAGGCAGTGGTTGGCAATAACTCTCAGGAACTGAGTTACTGACTGGCTGTTTGAGATCACATCTTTGGCTGCAGTGACAAATGCCTCTTTATTCTGTAAAAGAAAGAATGATTGTAGATGAGGGTGCCTACAAATATCCATAGATCCATGCAGTAAAGGGCCCTCTGGTGGTTATTACCGGTATTGGTCCTTTCTTCTTCAAGTACTGAGTCATATAACATAGGGTGTCAGCCATCTTCCTTGTCACCTGGACAATTCGGTTGTCCTTGGGATCCCAGCTGTCACTTTCTTGCTTAAGAAAAAGCGACGTGTGTGTCAACGAGGGAGTCACTTTGTATGCGCCAAACCAGACACCTTCCTATAGAGAAAAACATGGAGATGAGTTATTGAGACATAAAGGAATCACCACATTTTAAAACAGTGTTAATATTGAGATACATACATATTTTTCCACATTTCCAGGTCCGAATTTGGCCACAGCTTCCATGTTCATATTGGGTTCTGCAGCATTAACACTTTCTGTGTGGCCTTTCTGCCAGGATGTCATTGTCGTGTCAGAGCGAAATTCCACCTCTTTGTCTTTAGATGGCACTGTAGCCAACACTTCTCTGACATCCTCATATGTTTTGCCCTGTAGACCCATCATGATTTGCTCTTTTGCCTCTTGGTGAATCCCATCCTGCTTCCTGACCTCCTCCACCACATAGTGAGCTTTGGCTGACCAACACTGTATCTGCACATCCAGACTGAGTGTGTCACAAATGTAGTGAGTCTCCACCATGAGTCTCGCCCTGCTGATTATATCTGAGATCTGAAAAGACAGGTGGTCGTTGATAGACCTCAGGTTAGAACGGGCACGTGGGTCACGGACGTAGTGTAAGCAGTCATCGACTCTTTTTATTGCAGGTTTGACATTTTCCAAAAGTGTTTCCGCTGCGCTGTCAAACGTTTGCTCTGCTTCTTCTGTGTTGTTCTCCCGAAATTGTTGAGCAAAATCATGAGCAATGCCGACAATCTCTTGAATTGCTGTGTCATAATCCTTATTTGCTTTGCTTAGATGAACAAAAGCACTCTAATTTTAATCAAAAGATGTCTCTGAAAAAATTCAGATTTTGCAAGTTGCATTACACTTGGCATTATGTCAAGCTCTTCGGCAGCTTTGAGAAATGCTTCAGTCAGGGATTTTAGTTCATCCTGGTAATCTGTTAACTGTTTAGATTTGTAAGCACTTTTACAATTCAGGCTGGTTAGCCGCGCTGCCTCTTGGATTCGTAGTGAGTTCTCTGACAACACTGAGAGCTTTTTCTGAGGGCTCAACTGGTGCACTGCGGTCGATGTTCCCATAATCTTATCAAGAGAATTTAGCAAAATCTGAATGGATAGGCCCCAGAGGATACAAAGTGCCTCTAGTTGATCTACCTGTCCTTTCAATGAGGTGGAAAACTCTACCAGATATTTTGTGTTGTTGTGGGCTTTGTTCAGCTTGTTGTGTAAAACGCTCAATGTTTCTTGACCATCGCTTTGTGAGGGTAAATCAGATGATGTCAAAAGCTGGACCACATCAGCACATAAAGTCATCACTTCATTCAGTTGCTGCGAAACACTGGCTGCCATTGTTGGCCGATTTCCTTGCAGCTCAGTATAAACAGCTTGATACCAGGCTCCAGCTACTGGCAGTAAAACCTTTCGGGTGTTGTTAATAAGGTCAGTAAACTGCGTGCTGTGTTTGTAGAGGCTCTCCATGCTCATTGCTGAACTCATTGCCGTTTCTTGAGCCGTTTGGACGAGCAGCGGAGTTAGTGACACCACCTCTGCTCTAAAACTGTCCAACGTCTTACAATCAACCGCATCAACAATGGCCATGGCCTCCTTTGTGGCTTGGGCGTAGCAGTTTGACAGCTCGAGAACACCAGTGCAGGCACGGTTGAGTTCTGTCACATCCTTCCCTTTAGTCACAGTCACAACTTCATACAAGAGGGGTAAAAGGTCAAATTCAAGAGGCTTGTGGATTAGTTTGGGCTCAACGGAGACAGCTGGCATCTGTAAATCATCAATGTCATATTTACGAGCCAGTTCTGCTTCTATGGTTTCCTCATCTGACTGCTCCTCCTCATGTACGATGTGGGAATCCCTCTCTGTAGCCTCAAAAACAGGGGAGCCTTTTATCATATGATCCAGGTTAAGTTCACAGGTGTCTTTGACTGATACACATGACCGTGAGACTTCTGGTTGACGTGCCCCCTCGCGCAATGGGCTAAGGAGATGTGGATGTTGTTGGCCGTCCAGTCCCTTTCTGAGCACTTTTAAATGTTGAATAGCCATAGAAACATTATCTGAGAAAGTAGAATATACCTCTACGTTTAGACTGGAACCTAAAAGCATGTCTCTGACTGATTCTGCCACTTTGGTTCGAGATGACTGAACCTGTTTGAGCAGCACCAGGAGGCCATTTCTGTAGATTGGGTCATTACTTCTGTCCAAGTGCCTCCTCACTGAGTGAACTGCCAGCTTCAAGTGACAAATAAGGTTTGCTGCATGTTCATTAAACAGTTTATAGCTTTGCTCTCTGTACGCTGTGACACATCCATGCTGATCACTGACCACCTCATCGATAGCAACGCTGGTGAACTCTCTCACATCCATTACATCACTGAGAGCATCCTGAAGCTGACTAGTCTCCTCCTCCCATTTCTGGCACACTTCATGAAGCTTTTGAACAGTTTGCATCGAATTATCTGCCAGCTCAAGCGACAGAGATGCGATCCGAGCCCTGAGTCTTGTAAGGCTTACTCGCGAGTTCTCAACGTTCTCCAAACTCTTCGCATCAACAGCCACAGCTGAGATGAAATCTGCCACTTGGATTATTCTATCAGTGGAAGATATCAAATCCTCAACTAGCGGCTGAATAAAGGTTAGATCCATATCTGTAGAAGAATGCGAAACCAGGATCCGTCTCGTCACACTTAAAAGTTCCTCCACTATAGAAGATGCTGTCAGAAATGTGTCCAAGACTTGATAATGAACAGTAGTCATCAAAGATTTGTCAAGCGTTTGTATTTGTTGCGCCAAAAAAGTGCAGGGCTTTTCAACGCTCTGCTCTGAATCATCCTCTGAGGACTTTAAAATCATTTGTATGTCTGACCAGAACTGCAGGATGTGACGACAATGAGCGACCACTTTTTGTCGAAACTCCCTACGAGAAGAGTTTGCCACCACCATACAGTGAAACACAATATCCCTCACCAGGCTGTCAAAGCTAGAGCCTTGGATTGATGAGGTGGTAGAACTAGTAAGTAGTTTCAAAAGACTGTTCCTCCTCTCTGTGTAATACCCGCAAGGACCCAGTGATGTACTGTGGCATTCACTTCTCAGGGTTATAATAATGTCATTGACTGTGCTCTGCACCTTGTCCAGGATGTACCTCTTGGCTGCCTGCGCCTCCTCGCTTGTTGGATGTTTGATGGTGGTACACATGGCCGTGTGCAGCATGGAGATGCACCGCCTCAGGGTCTCTAAGGAATCTAGAAGCTGTTCGGTTTGTCTTGGGTCCTGTAAGGCACTTGCTCTCTCCATTGTCAGACTATGGAGAAGAAGCAGAGCCTCAGAAAACACCTGGAAATATTTGAGTAGAGACTTGATGTCTATGGAGGAGCCGAGATCAGAGAGGCACTCCAAAACCTGATCAGAAGCAGCTATCACTCTCCTGATATTTGCATCATCGTCCACTAACAGAACCTAGGAGCACAGTGACAGAAAAAGGAACGTGTTACTGCTTGTTGTGATTTTCTTAGCTAAGCTAGAGGCATCAAACTGTGATGAAATGGGGCGTGTTGACTTTGGTGATCTTGTAACCTTTCCTCTACTACCACATTACAAACCTACATTTGTATGCACATACATCACTAATGAAAACCAGTTGTGGTGCAAAGGTACTATATATAATGTCACTTATATTGCTGTATGAGTGCCTAATATTATGAGAAAAGCAATATTGGGTTAAGGCCAGATTGTCTTGCAATGCCTACCTGATGATTTGATAATGATAGTGAAAAAACATGATACGTCAGTGTGCTAAAATAGTTTTCTCCGATCTAAAGAGACTTTTGAAAAACCAAAAGGAATACAAATGAAAGGGTCTCAAACACCATGTGATGTTATACCAGAGCATAACGTATTGTAAAATGAAAGAGATTATGACAGTCTCAACTATTGTGTCCGTTTATTAAATGTACATGCAGTAGCTGATGTATGCCTTTATAAAGTATAGACAATGAAATAAAGATAAGATATCAATCAGTAGCCTACAATAAAAACGGTATCTGTCTTCACAAATTAACAAAAAAGTTATTTCTAACAACATTGGAAGCTGAGGTGAAGGATCATGAATCAGAAGTTCAGATTGTTCAGGTGTTAAGTTTAAATAGCTGGTGATTTGGCCTTTTATTGTGTTAAGAAGTATTCCCTTGGATACATCTGGTAAAGTATTCATCAGATGCAGCTGTGGAAGATGAATCTATTGTAAAGTTTCTATGCTTTTAATCAGTCAGTGTCTGCAGCCATTCCTTCCTCCCTAACTCTGCACCACACACAACAACCAGCATGGACGTTGTAATATGTTATATTGAATTTATATTTAGTAACATACTTGGAGCCCCCTTCTAAACCAAGAAAAACAAATAATACTTTACTTTGACTACTCCCAGGAAGACATTCTGTGTTGCAGTGATGAGTTCCTCTCTGTGCTCAGTCAGACTGGGCTGGATGTTGAGTTTCTGGGCTGCCAGCAGCACATGTTGTCCGGACACAGTGACAGACTCAAACAGGGATGACATCTCCATGTGCAAAACCTCATCCTCTGTGTCACGGATTACCCTGAAAGAAAGGAGCCTGGTGTTAATCTGATAATACATTACATGTGTCCTTTTAACCCCATTACACACCAAACTGTACCCACCTGGAGGCCTCTGCTGCCATGTTTTCAGTCGCTTTAGCCACGGCCCGGGCTGCACCCTCCAGCTGGGTGAAGTGCTCAGGGTCCTCTGCACTGTCACACAGCAGCACCAAGTGGCACAAATGACTTGCGATCGGGGCGACTACCCTCTCCACTGCGGCAGTCCTGATCAATCCATGCTCAAATAAAG